TCGAATGACGACAGACATATGATCCCGTCGTCAGACATAACCTAGATTAAGTGGAAATAACATAATTATGTTATTTCCACTACAACCTTATATTCATAAAATTTTAACCATTCCAGACTTTGCACTATTAATTGATCTCTACCTACTATCGTGCAACTGTACTAGACTCATCTCAATATATATCCCTTCAGCTATTTCCACTTAATTAAGTGAAGTACAAGACAAAATAATTCAATGGATAAGTTAAGCATGATCTCAACATTTAATATAGTTCTTGCCGGTGACTTTAACAACAATATCAACCAAGCAAAATATCATTGTCATACACTCCTTCTTCAATATCTTTCAAGTATCGAATTTATCAGTTTGCTAGAGCTACATAATATACAGGAACTGATATAGTGCCAGAATAATCACTCAAGTCAGATTGATGACTTTTGGGTTAACCAGGAATTGTCTTATCTTTTAGCCAGCCCTTCTTACTAGATCCAACAACTTCTACTAGTAGCGATCATTGAATTCTTTATACTACCTGGAAAACTGTAGCTATAAAGAAAATTCCCTGAACCAAAAAACAATTTCAAAAGATTTATTAATATTCGACAACTACATTAGAGCAATGGGAAAATTTTGCCCAATACATCTCCACCCACACTTTAGCATCCTTGCATTTCCTCAAACCTATTGAAGATGAAATCTCACTTAACAAAAGTTGGAATAACCTCTGTAATATAATAAAACAAGTAGCTAATACTTATATATTTGTCTCTAGAAAATGTCTATCAAATTTTCATACTACACTTATAAAGCTACCAAATTGCACAATGCCCTAAAAACAATAAACCATGCAATTATACTTACCCAACAGGTGGCACCCCAATCTCTCACGAACTTAGCATCTACTATAAATGGCCTTCTTCAACAAGTTGTTACACTATCACACCTATCTTTACTGCAACTGATTTCGAATCTGCTCAATATTTTGCAACTCAAACACAACTCAAAGAAGTTCGCAAAACCCTTTACCATGCTTGTAATCTTGAAAACAAATCACAGAAAAAGGCCTTAATCTATAATAATATAACCCGATGTTATAACAGTTTTGCGTTTAATACAACTCTGATAATCAATAGTATATTAAAACAGAACCGTATACCAGTGTTATTTACCAATATTACAACCTCTACTGATATCATAATCTTACTTAATGAAATCAAACAAGCAACCAGACAGCACTTTCAGTTCTGGACCAAACTTAATCCACCTGATATGACATATTGGGGCGAGTAGGACTCCCACTACCAGCCAATCAAAAATATACCTAGCGAGGTCTTCAGTTTGATCATGGACCCTATAAGTCTTTAGGAAACAACAAACACTATTAAAAGTTCACCTGTTTAAAAAGCTACTGGACCCTTACTCACCTTTAATGAAATGCTAAAAAAACTGCTATTACCGGCCCTACAACAACTAACACATATGGGGGTAAGTTAGTAGAAATGAGACAAATTTATCTAATAAATTTGTCTCATTTCTATAACTTACCCCCATATATTCAACAGCTATCTAAAACTCCAAATCATATTATCTTATTGGCATAAGGGTTTGGTTTGGCTCATCATGAAAAAAGGTTACTTTCTGAGCAGGGTTGCCACATTTATCTATTGGGCTCAATGAAGAAGATCTTCGTTGGCATTGCTTCATTGCTCCATTGAGAATAATTTGCCAATGAAGCCAATGGAGGCCAACATAATAACTATAAATTATAATATATATATTATATATATATTATATATTAATTTATAAAATTATTGATAACTTTGATCCACTAATCCGTTTTGAGTGATTTAACTACCAAAATGTTCATCATGATATGAGAATTCTAACAAGCCCAAAATCGCTAAAATCTAATTATAGGGTCTCAAGATAGCTTAATTTTTAATAAGAGTTTTTAACTCTTAGTAAAATCATGCAAAAATTAAGCAATCTTGAGACCCTATGATTGGATTTTAGCGATTTTGGGCTTGTTAGAATCCTCATATCATGATGAACATTTTGGTAGTTAAATCACTCAAAATGGATCAGTGAATTAAAAGTTATCAATATTTTTATTTATTTTTATTTTTTATTTTTTAATGTTAAAGATTAATAATTTTATAAATTAATATATATATATAATTAATAATATAAATTTGATTGGTTAATTCAATGGAGCCAATGGAACCAATGGATACTATCCATTTACTCTATTGGCTCCATTGGCTAATTTTCTCAATGGAGCTTATCTATTGCCAACCCTGCTTCCAGATGATCTTAGTAAGACTAGATCAATCACTCTAATAAAACATATGAGATAAATCACTTAAACCAAACCTTAATGAAGGTTAATATTTTAAACCCCTTCAACAATGTAGCCCTCCCCTTCACTTCAATAATACAGCCTATATAATGCATAACCCACATTATTGAAGATGCCTATTCACAAAAGAAAGAACTTTGGATCATATCCCAGAACATGTCTAAAGCTTATAATACTGTTTATATCCCCTGCTTCAAAGAGGATTTACATACTTCAAAGCTTCATTAATCTCCTGACCCACATACTTTCTTTTCATTCAAATCAAATCATCATATCTTTGGGAAAAACTCAATCTTACTTGATTCAAGATAGACTTAACCAAAGAAACCATATCCCCAATCCTATAGCAGATTTACTATGATCTACTAATTAGTAGAATTGCAACTCAAGCTCATAGTTACACTATGCATGCACACACCCCTAACAGTAATAATGACGTCACAGTCCACATCTCAGTAATAGCCTACATGGATGATATTATCTGGATAGCTAATAGTAGAGAATCTCTCGAATCAACCTTTAAGATCACATCTTCTTTTTACAACTTAGCACAGATCTTTGTCAACCTCTCCAAATCTATACTCTTTCACAACAACTCTGTCAACTCTCTATCTATTCTATTTCAAAACCAACCAGTACACAATCTACTTGCAAAATCTTCTTTCAAATTCCTAGATATTTTAATTGATTACACAATCAACAACAGATGTTCAATTCAGCAAATCAAAAAAAAATTTTATCTTGAACTAAAATATGTTGCAATTACAGAAAAACAAGCTATTTATATTATAAATACAGTACTTTTGGCAAGGCTCCGTTACTTTTTGTCAAATATACATTTAACTGCCTCCTGTATTGACCAACTTATAAGATGTTGCACCAATATTATAAAGATAAAGGCCACTCTATCCAGATCAACACCCAATTCTGTACTTCACCTTCTATATATATATTCCTTAATCAGCATCCATCAGCTTCAACAATCTCATCATGCCTCTATCTTGGAAACCCAACTTAATTTAACCTTAATACCTCCTACCTTCCATATTTGTTTATAATAGTTACAAAATAATGCTTTAACCAACCTATCAATCCTTACACATCAGCCCCAATTCTCAAATTCAGAATATCACATCTTTATTGCTTATCTAATTCAAAATATTTACACATTAAATATTCAGTTTGCTAGGTCAGCAAACCCCTGGCCTATATCTACTCAGTCACACAGACATTTAATTAATGTTATCTTACAACACCTTAAAAATTGTAGCTTGATAAAAAAACAATTAAATCAGCACAAAATTACTAATATAGAACATTTCACCAATTATGATAATACAAGATTGTTATCTTGGCAAGAATTTCATCACAATATTCAAAAGATACCTCATAGCTGAAGCCCAAAATGGTTTATCTTGGTACAAGATACTATACAAGCACTAGCAGCACCTTTATTATAGTTGACATATCCCAACTCATATACCTGGCATAAGCACTCTGAAAAATCCAAACACAAATGAATCTTGACTCTAGAGTACACCTTAGAGAAAGTTATATCACAAAAAGATAACCTCCTAAAAATCCAATATTGGATCCTAGCTGGCTCCAACACTCTTACATGTTGTGCAAGTTGTCTACATTATGACAATACTACTAAAATACAAAAGTGCTCTTTCTGGATCCCAAAACATCTAGTCTTCGATATTCAAGTAGACTCGCAGCACCAATGGTACAAACTCCAAAACTTCTTAGATATTTCTAAGCCTATCTCTAATCCAATTCATAATTCTTCTCAATACATTTCAAGGACCTATCGAATAACTTTCAAGCTAACCCAAGTATTATCAGATCAATCAGAATGAATTTGGCAATCATACCTTAAATTCTCAAACTCAACAAGCTTCACCGTGGAGATAATCATTTCATCATATAAGAATCGCAACCATTCACTTCTTATCGCATATCTAACTTTCGGCCACCACCCAGAGAAAATGATAATTCAAAATAAAACCTGGCCCAATCTTCAAAAAATAGTGATCACCACTTTTTACGTTTTATCAACTATAGCAACTACTAATTCCCAAATCAACTTATGCACTAATTTAAGTTTAATCCTCAATCTCTTATTTTAAATCACATCTCTTTCTACTACAACTAATGAACAATACCGAAAAACAAATAACTATACCTATTTCTTATCCTTTTAAAAAGCTATTAATACAAAAAACATTACAATCCACACAAACAAAATCTAATCTAAATCTAGATGTAATAGGCCAAACCATATAATTAACATAAAAATCGGTATATTATCACTATTACACAATACTTATACATTATTGTATGACAACAAGATTGCATCTAACAGTTTAAAAACTATGGTTAAAAAATTATTTATAGCCAACAACATACACAACTGGGTTTAACAAAATAGAATTCAAATACATCAATACAACCATTACGATGTACTGTGGCAACTTACCTTTGAATACTTGCAATTTGAGAACAAACCTAGGATTCGATTAACTAATCTTGCCAAATCCAAAATTAAGAATTTCAAGTGTAAATTAATAATGCAAGAAATCTCCAATCATTTAAACTTACACATACAACATCCAACCTCATACCCTACACCAACTTGTTCAAGATGTTCAAACTGTTCTAAAAACAATATACTTGTTTAACCAATCTTACAAACATATCTCTTGTAATCAACTCAGTTTTAGATAACATGTGCACAAAATATAATTTGATCACTTTGAGTTGGCAAGACTATATACAACAATTTCTTCAAACTCATATTACTAATCAACTTCCCCTAGATTTTATAACAACAAAAACCTTACCACTATTCTTATCGGTTATATTAGCTAAATATTTCATACCTCAATTTTTTCATACCTTAATTTCTGAAATTAGAGATAAATTATGGCTACCCAGTAGAATAGAAATTGCACACAGCAATACTACTACTAAAAATAACAATACTCCTTCATAATTCCAATACATAATACTATTCTTATTCATAGTAATTTACCTTCTCTTTGGGCCTCAGCCTATATTAACTTTAATACTTCTTCAATACTTATTTTAAACTTAGATTCATAGTCTAGAGGTTTTTCAACCTATCTAGCTAAGGTTTAGGTCTAAAGTAAAGTAGCTTAATCTCCTATTTCCAAAAATTTATATAAACACCTTTTAAATCTTTGCATAATAAATAATAAAGGAATCGAGAAAAAGACCTCACTTAAAAAAAATAATAATAATAAACTTGGATTAAATAGAGATTATGAAACACTTTGCAAGAATACTACTCTAAAAGATTTAGATATTCAAAACAATAATATTGGAGAAGAAGAATCTTTAATAGATATACTTTGCAAGAATACTATATTAATATCATTAAATCTTAATTCAAATAAGCTTAAGTTAGAAGAAGTAAATTTATTAGTATGTGCTCTTTTTAAGACTACCTCTTTAACAACATTAAATTTTTATAGCAATAATTCTAGATTTAAAGAAGAAAAAGTATTAGCAGATGCATTTTGCAAGAACTGCTTCTTAAAATTTTTAAATATTTTTTGTAATAATCTTGGATTAGAAGGAGGAAAAGCATTAGCAGATGCACTTTGCAAAAACTCCTTTAATAGCATTAGATCTCTTTCTTAATAATATTGGATTAAAAGAAAGAAAAGCATTAGCTGATGCACTTTTTAAGAACTTCTCTTTAACATTTTAGAACATTGGTTTTAATAATCTTGGATCAGAAAAAAGAAAAGCATTAGCTGATACACTTTGCAAGAACTCTTTCTTAAAAATAATAGATCTCTGTAATAATAATATTGGATCAGAAGAAGGAAACTATTAGCTAATACACTTTGCAATAACTTCTCCTTAATAAGATCAAATCTCACTTTTAATAAACTTGAATCTGTAGAAGAAAAGTATTAGCTAATGTACTTTGTAAGAACTCTATGCTAAAATATTTAGATATTTAATTAAATTTATATTAAAATTAAAGTATCAGAAAATTTTCTTTCTTTTATTTGCATATAGTCTTGAATTTTGAATAGTTACTATTCTTTTACAGTAGTTAGTTTTTTTAATAATATATCTAATTCACATAATTTACATATGCAATATTAATTATTCAATATAGTGCTTAAATAATTTTTATATTAATCTTTAACTTAATGATGAAAATAGGAATATATACTAATACAGTATAATACAATATTTATTATTAATTAAAAAAATTTTTGCTGTTTTATTAATTTTCTTTTAATGATAAACTTTTGATGTATTTTTTTTAAAAAATTTGTAATATTTCTCAGTATAATATTGTCAAGCCTAATAAAGTAGAGGCAAGATTGCTGAATTGTTAAAAAAAAATAAAAAAAAAAAATAAACCTTTAATATAAGAACTAAACAAATCTCTATAATTATTAAATTGAAATAGCAATATATTATTGTAAAGCAAATAATAAAATATATTAATATTTTTCTAGTTTGTCTTTATTATTATATTTATAATATATAAATTAGACTCTTTTCGAACATGATGCAGTGTATAAAAGAACTGTGCCACAGACAGATATATTGAAGATTTTTTTATTTTTATCTTATATTTTTTTTTTTAAAAAAAAAATTAAAAAAAAAATTATAATTACTGATAGAATAGTTATATCACAAAAAGCAGTCTATAGTGTCCAATAGCAATGACTAAACAGAATCATGACAGGTATATCATATATCAATTTAGTAAAAATTATGATCTGTCCTCAATTCTAAATATATTATGGATCTATCCAGTTAGAATTGGATAAGGATATTTGCATTTAATCTGAATTATTGGATAAATCTGAATTAGTCAAATTGTAAATTGAAGCACTATTAATGTTACTATTTTATTAGTTCAAACCCAAACATATTTGCAAACTTCAAATTAAACCCAGGTCAAACCTAATTATAATGTTTGGGTTTGATTTGAGTTTGATTATTTTATATTTAAAGAATTTGGGTGACAAAAATCTTTAGGCAAAAGGATCTACTAGTTGATAGCCAGAAAACATTTAGGGAAATTTACAAATAAGGGTCTGAAAAGTGAAAATAATTATGGATAAGGGCCCAAATTAAAAATAATTACATATAAGAGCCTAATTTTTGAAAAATATTACATATAGGGGTCTAAAATAAAAATGAAACTTATTCAAATCTGTAGCTCGATCATCATTAATAAGTTTATATTATCAGGTGTATAAGAAATGTAATCATTGATAAATATAATAATAGATTGTAAATTAGTAATCATAAATAATAAATAAGAAGTGTCTTTGACTTCATAAATACAATAAATTTCATTTATTTATAAAATTGCTTATCATTATAACAAACCATAATACTAAAACTTTAAAAAGTGTTTGCTCAGCTCTAGAGAGTTATTCTGTTGAAACATTTTTGCCTTACAAGTTCAGAACTAATAAACTCAACAAACTATTTGTTGTTTGTTCTATGAACAAAGACAGCAAATACCCATTTACTGTTTCTGCTAACAAATGTAAAGATGGTTTTATTCATATCATAAGGCTAATTAATCATGATCAAAATTGTCCAGATTTTTCAAAAATGTTCAAAGCCTAATACAAAATTATGCTAGTTTGAACATTATCTTTTATATAGTATTTAAACGAAAGTAATTATAACTAGATAGTGCTTATTTATCTATATAATATAATAAATGAGTGCCTTTGTGGTATGATAATCTCGTGATCATGTTTTTTCAACTATTGATATATTTGGGCCCCTATATGTAATATTTTTCAAAAATCAGATCCTTATATGTAATTATTTTTAATTTGGGCCCTTATCTGTAATTATTTTCACTTTTCAGGCCCTTATTTGTAAATTCTCCAAACATTTATATTAAGGCATAGCTTTATACAAATATTGTATTTGTTATATAATTTTTTTTAAACTTGGCACAGGTTATAATAGTACAACTTTCTTTTCTATTTGTTAACCCTTGGGCTAATTGCTACTTTTTAATAAAGATAGGTTTCTTCTTTATCTTTGTTAGCTCTTGGGTTTTTTCTGTTTTTTCTTTTTTTACATTTTCTTGTTCCCTCTTTTTTTTTTTTCTTTGAATTTCCCTTTCATTTTATTTTTTTTTTTTAAATATACTTCTTCTTATTTGTCAATAGTGGTTTTGTAGATATAAAATCATTACTTTCTTTTGCTCTTGGTAAAGAAAGAAGAATTGAAAAAATTAGCTTTCAATAGGCTGACAAAGTTTATCCAACTTATATACAGGTTGGTGTAACAAGTTCCTTCTAGACACATGTATCGCAGCCAGGAGATATTGGGCTTGCAATTGAAGAATAAACAATTTTGTTTAATTCTAGATAATATTTTGTTTTGTTATTAATTAAATAAAGTTTTTTTAAATTGCTTAAGCTCTGGCAAGACCGTCAAAGAGCTATAAAAAATATATATACAGTATATATTTTTTGCTATAACCTCAAAAGTAGGGTTCTGCAAATGCCCGTGCCTGGCATATTGACACCGGGCTGGGCACTAGTGCCTTTGCCATGCCAATGCTTATAAACACAAAAGGGCATAAAATGCCAGGCACATTAAAGTATGGGCACAATGTGCCAGGCACTAGCAAAGGCATGGGCACAAAGTGTTAGGCACAGGATTCTGGAGTGATGCCGAGCACAATTAAATACTAAATATCAAATTTTTGTGCCCGTGCCCATGCCTATGCCAAATTTTAATACTTGTGCCTATACCCATGCCTAGATTTTTTGAAAGCACGGCAGCGCTCGGTTTGCAGAATATTACAAAAAAGCTATTTTATAATTAGAATTTCGAGATATTGTTGTACCCCGAATTGGATTCCAATCTGAGGTACGACAAATATATACTGTATACACTTAAAAATATTATTAATTATTAATTTTAACTTAGCAATTACTAGATACGTGTGTATCCTGTAGAGATCGAGGAATGAGAAAAGAAAAAAAGATGAAAATAACATTGCATTAGATCCTAAGTATAATAATTGTCCGAAGCGTAGCGAGGGAGACGTAAATACACAAAATGTGGGTTCCGCTCACGTGACACAATCCAATCAATGTATTACAGATCGACAAGATGAAAAAGCCTGTAAAAATAAAAGCTTTGTTTCCGTTAATATTACCGTTACGTACTAACAGCACCTATATTTACCAGGTACAATTGTGCTTAAAAAAATATTAGAGCTGAAAGAATGAATACATTATAAAGAGAAAAATATCAAATCTGGGAAAAAATGACTCATAAATTGTCATCGAAATATCTTTACGAATATTATGATCATCTATTGCCCGTATTCGAAATTCAAGGCACGATCAACAGGAAAAAAAAAAAAAACTAAAAAAGACAACTAGAGGATTGATTGATGCAATTGATTTCTCATTTCGATTCAAGAAGTTTCTCAAACATAAGTCGAAGGAATTGAGAAGTGAACATTATATGTAAAGAAGATTAATGCATAAGCCACGTGTATAAATTGTGGAACCTGAGGAACTTGGCAAGAGGTGCGGTTTGAGAATCAATCCGAATCATAACAGTATCGGATATATATTAATCCGTCCATGATCTAAGGTCTCGAATTGAGATTCGGGTTAGCTTCGTTTTTAAAACGATTTGTTGGTATTCAAGCAACAAAAATTTACTTTTTTTAGAAAAATAACCGGAATCAATGTTGCTGCGTCAAGCATTACTAATACACATTCGTGTGATTTTGGCGGCTGACAAATCTATTAATTACGTATTCAAATCTTGTACATCTTATTGTTACATTGGGAACCTTATTCAGAAATTCTATATTTAATTAATGCATAAATATTTAAACAAAGTTTTATCTACAGAGAATTATTATATTTCGGTTATCGTTTTCTCCGTCTCCCGTTTTCACACTTTTTTTTTAAACAACGTGTTTAATATTTTTATCTCATTAAAGAATAGTGTTCATAAATTAATGATACGATATTATAAAATATTTATAAAAAAATAAAAAATAATAATCTTGGATAATTAACATGGTTACTTTTTGATTTTTCGTCTGTAATTATAACGAAGCTGTTATAGGATTAGTGTTTTAATAACTTATTCAGATACACCTTGTTTTGCGATCTCGTTTTTGCTGTTAATTATCCGGTATTTTTTATAATCTTAATTGACTATTTTTATTAAGAAGGCTTAGTACTTGTTCTTTTTCACGTGACCTGCTTAAAAGATCCTTACTAATTGTTCCTAATATTTTTTATTTTTGTGCTGGCAAATTACATGTATTCTCAACAATTTTTATAATGCACAAAGAACGCGTTTAAAATTTTTTTTCCTAGAAATGACATCATCAACAAATCAATTTAATTTCACGGCTGATGTTAATAATAATTCAGATGGTTCAGGTGAAAAAGATAGTGGAAATTCTGCAATTGCTGTTAAACGTAAACGTTTAACTCAAGCATGTGACGCGTGTCGAAAAAAAAAAGTTAAATGTAGTGGTGAAAAACCATCTTGTAATAATTGTTCTCGACTCAATGTTCCCTGTACGTACCTGCCAAGTACACGAAAAAGAGGGCCAAGAGTTGGATTAGTCGAGAGTTTAGAAAAGCGTCTTCAACAAATGGAGAAACTTTTACAGCCCCTTAAGGAGCAAGGACTGGTGGATGATTCTGATGATAATTCACTTGGTCCTTCAACTAAAAAACCTCGTTTAAATCCTATTTCTACTACTGGGATCGATCCCGATGATCAATTATATTCTGATCAAACTTCTTCAGCCTCATCGGCAAATTCTATATCTCAACATTCTCGAGAGTTCACTACAAAAACTCAATTTTCTTCCCCACCGACCCAATTTATTAAACCATCGCCTGATGATCATAATGAGCAAGCAGAATTTATCAATTCATATTCTCAATCTTTACAACCACGACAAAGTCAATTGAAAAATGCAAATGAATCAACAACGATTGAAGTGATAAGAGAGGAATGTATGCCGAATTTACCACAGAATGTAAAGATAGAAGAAACAAGTGATGATCAATTCTTTGGCAATACTTCACCACATCCAGGATTTAGAAAGAATTGTCGTACAATTATTAATTTTCAACTACAAAATTCACTATTTATATCAAATGGATTACCAACGGAAGATATTGTTGAACATCTCGCTTTATGCTTTTTCCGACATATTGATGGTCAACTTTCAATGTTCCACGAACATACTTTTATGCGTCAACTACGACAAAATAAAGTTTCACCTTTATTAATCCTTGCTATGTGCGCTGTGAGTTCAAGGTAAATTATAAAATTCGGTCATTTTTATTTATATATATTTTATATATATTTATATTCACGTACCATTGTATTACACCGTCTTCTTACATTATTTAGATATTCCGAACACCCAAATATTAAACGAGATCCACCTTATCTTTCTGGGGAGCCTTATGCACATCAAGCATCAAAACATGTATTAGAAGCACTAGATTCTCCTTGTATTGAAGCAGTCCAAGGTATTGTTGATTTTAATGATTTTAATTTTGTTTGATTTTCGTTTATAAATCATTTTGAATTGAATTTTCTCTTTTTAAATATAGCATTTATATTGCTTGGGTTGTATAGTTATGGATCTTCACATGGCGCAAGAACTTATATGTATATTGGTATGGCTGTAAGGTATTAAAATCTAAATTTCATCTAATTTCATCTAAATTTCATCTAAATTTCTTCATCTAAATTTCATACCAAATACTATAATTTTAACATTATTGAATGTTTTATATCAGAATGGCACATTCATTAGGTCTACATAAACTTGATGACATCACTCCGAATTCTCCACCTGATCAAAAAGTTTCTGAAGAAGTATTTATAGCTAAAGAAACTAAAAGACGTACTTTTTGGTCTTGCTTCATGTTTGATAGGTATTTATATTATAGTAACTAACGACATAATTTATTTTACCAGAATATTTATATTTTCATTCGTTATTATAGATTTTCTGCTTGCGCTTTAGGGAGACCGTTACTTATGCAAGAAGAAGATTGTGATGTTAGGCTCCCTTGTATTGAATCAGTTTGGGCCTTGGAAAGTCCTTATAGCAGCCCTGTAATTAATGAACAACTAAATAGTCAATACATTAAACAGCATACTTCACTTGTGCTCGCTAAAACTGGAGTTATTGCTTGTTTTCATAGCGTAAATACTTTATTAGGTCGTGTATGTACATATGTTAATCGTTCAAGACCAACAAATGTATTACCACCTTGGAGTCCAACATCAGAATTTTCTATATTGGAAAATGATATAGAGGATTGGTATCAGTCGATCTTACCTCATTATAGTTATTCTCGTGAGAGATTGATTGAATTAATTGCTGTTCGTAGTGGAGGAGCATTTGCATCACTTCATTTATTATATTATGCGGCTATTGTTGTCCTTAATAGGCCAAATTTTATAAAGTTCCAAAAACGTGAACCTATGCCAGCATATGAGGTCGAATTCATTCGTTCATCTTCTGAGCGTTGTTATAATGCAGCGAAACAAATTACTTCTATTGCTTCCGATGTTCTTAAAGTTGGATGTCAATTTATGTGCCCTTTTACATTATATCCATTATTTGTGTCTGCAACAATTTACTTAACTGATTTTAATAATGAAGATATTACAATTGCTAATTTTGCAAAAGCAAATTTAAAAATTCATGAGCAGTTTTTTGAAGAAATGGGACCATTATGGGGAATAGCTAACAAAATGAAATGTATTATGGAACGTATGAAAAGAGAAACATGTGTTTCTGAAAATAATCGACCTTCGCAAGATGAAACAGAAATATTATCAAGGAATTCAGATGCTGGTCTTATGGCTTATTGGAATAATGCAGTTAACAACGATGTTGATATAATTCATAATCCTTCTTCTATGAATACATTTCCCGATCAAATTATATCATCTCGATGGTTATATAATAATTTGGAACAACCATTAATGGGAGATACATGGACGAATTTTCTTCGATCACCTTCACCGATTTCACCGATGCCACCAATTTCACCAGGCTTTTTAAGACGACTCACAAGGAACTTTGAAAATGGAGAAAACGCTAATGAAGAAGGATATTTCACTCAAGATATGACATTATATAATAATAACAATCCGCTTGCATACGATTACTCTATGATAGCAGATATTTCTAGTGGTCAACCATTTTCAGAATGGTCAACTGGAAGATTCATGTCAAATCGTAGAAATTTAACTGATATGAATGAAATAATTCAAAATTCATTAACACCAAGTCAAGCTTTATCATCAAATGCCAATGTTCTGGTTGGAAATACTACAAATTCACAATTATTAAATCCTATAGGTTCAACAGCACCAAGAACAAGTGATATTCAAATCGATGCAATACTTCGTAGTAACTAGTTATCTCTACTTATTATATTTAATTATTCGGGATTTTATTTTAATTTGATACAGTATCTTTTAATATAAAAATATTTTTTGATATATTTTCATTTGGTTTTTTTCTTTGATTTCTTTTATATATATTACAAATTATTACATTTTAAATTTTGTGTAATTATCATTTATTTCATTTTTTTTTTGGAAAAAAAACATTTTTGTCGGGTCAATAGAATATTGGATTTACGGGAGGGATATAGATAAAAAATTTTTTTTTTTTTTTTTTTTTTTCTTGTAGGTGACTTGAAAAGATGTAAATAATACGTTACATGTATATATCTGATATTATAATTATTATTAATATTTAGCTGACTTTAATGTATCTTTTATATTGTACCTGTTTTGCAAAAACGTACGTACGTGCGTAGCATGTAATGAATCTCATCACGTGAAGAGTGACTTAAAGTTTTGATTTTATGTTACATTATCGATATTTACAGTATTACGTTTAATTATTGTATAATCATATGAATTTCCATTGGACACTAATCATGTGATCGGAAAATCAATCCTACACCTAGTTGCATCAATAAAACTTTAAAAAAAACGGATGAATGACCAGGTAAATTGTAAACGGTTATACTAGAGAATTTGTAATGGCGAGACTTTTTTTGTTTCATAATTTGATATAATAAGATTTTTAAATGTAATAATTTGTTATTGTTACTAGTAATAGTAAATTTTATAGAATGTACGTAACAACGATAACGATAACAGATAACGGTATAACTATAAATATATAACTATACACAGATATATATGTAATATAATAGTAAATGCGACCATTGCTTATGTTATCAGATATTTCACGCTTCTTAGCAAAAGATAAATTCATAATTTTTGTTTAAAATGATACGAAAATTGTTTTTTTTTGTTCACAAATTTGTACATGATTTATAATCAAATGTCTCCCCTGAGGTGTAGTTACGAAAATTATAATATACATAAATACTGTATAGGGTACACATATACGGGGGTTAAATAAAAAATAATTCACCATATATTTGTCTTGAAAAATACATTGTAGGGTTTGTCGTTATATTTGACAATGAAAAATAATAAATGATAATAAATACATAGCAAGAGATATACATTATATATATGGTTATATGTATGATTATACGTACTGTATGTATGGATTTATTTTTTTATAGTTACCATTTCGTGCAAGTCATACAGTTCTTAAATTTTGTTAAATATTAATAAGGAGCAAAAAAAAAAAAAGATACGTACGCCCTTTTTTATATGCAGTGTCATCAAAAAAGATGGTTCGGGAATTTATAAAGTACAACATAACAATCTCGTGAATTTTTTAAATTTTCATTCTCCTGATATTAGAATTTTCTTTTCAAATTCTTTTTTTTCTTAAAATAGTTCGAATTGAATACTGTACAAGAAAAATTAGATTATGTATAATAATTTTTATTATTGAGGAGAATTGCGAGATTTTTGCTATTTGCTTTATATATAGTATATATATATATGAGATTAACTATTTTGATACTGTATATGGGCGCTTTTCAATAGAAGGGTAGATCTCCATTTAGATTTAATCAAAAATTTTGAGAAAATCACGTTTTTTGTAGATCAAAACAACTACTGGTGACAAATAACATAGATCAATTTTTTAAAATATTATTTATATATGCCATGTGATATAAACAATTGTGCAATACACGTGACTTTTAATTTTTCATATGCAGTACTAGATAATAAAGATTACATGTAAAAACTTAAAAAATTATTAAGCTAGCATAATTTAACATTTAATTAGAATCATATATCTGGTTATGCTTTATTTAATAGGCCAAAAAAAATTTTTTAGCCAAAAAGTAGATCTACCCCCTTTCTATTGAAAAGTGCCCATATATACATGATATTAGCTAATTTCTTTCAATTGCTATTACGTTCATTTTAAATGAGAAAAGTCACGATGGAGATTTGGTAATGACACCATAAATAGATAGGTAAAGCTTTTAAGTAAAAAGAATAAAGATTATGTAACAAAGTGGTATGCCCCTATGTTTCTTGGTATTTTTAACAAAAGAACATTATTTACTAATATTGATTCAGTGCAGATTTATGAAATATCAGGGTTCCGCGCACGGGTACGCACGGGCACGAGCATTATGCTTTAATAGTACCCGGAACTTGCAGAACCCTAAATTTTTTAAAACGTTGACTTGAAAACAGTACACAGATATGTTTGTTGTGTTAGATTGTTAAATTGACAATGACATATAATATTTAAAAGAGTCAACGCAATACAAGCAATCTACGTAATACTACATGATATGGTATACTACGAAATTAAGGTGTATACTACGTAATACTTGATACTACGTATTATTACAATATTCTTTTAAGAATTACAAGACTTTGGTTAATTAGAAAGTGCCATCGTGCTCAATCTATTTTCAGACTATATCTATATTCGTCTATCGCGTAACTCGCGCTTATATATGCTAGGTTTATTTCAAACTATCTCTTTACTGTTGTTAAAGTGAGAAATTTTTTTTTTTACTCAAATAATATATATAGTTATATTATAAATCTTTAAGCTTTATGAAAAAGTGTTAAATATTGCATAACCATATCACTTCTCGACTCGTTGGTGATCTGATTCTTTTTTTTTTTCAATTTACCGATTGGCCAAGAAACTGTCTCAAGACAGAAAACACAGTATATTAACGGATATTCCGCACGTCATTTTGATCAACTGTACATTATTTCGAATACGTCCACGTGCGTTATTAGACCAATTTTTCTGCACGAGGTACATCTATATCTATATAATAACACTAAAAAAAAATTGATAGATTATTTTAAAATTGATCATGTTTATGATATTTCGGTTTCAAAAAATAATATAGAAAAAATTTGTAATTCTTACATTATTTTTAACTTGTTAAAATTGATTTATTAAATTATCAAACTGTAATTATCCCTTATTTTATGCATAGACAGATCTTTTATTCTTGCAGTAATAACAATATAATTTAACATTTACATGCATGTAAAATCTTTCTGATTAATTTGGATAAGCGAAAAAATACTTACTCATAACTATTTATTACAAATTTATAATGTTAAAGCCATTAATCCTGGACCCTCTTTGTCCCTTTATCATATGTTATCGTAATAAACGAATTTTAGTTTTATTCTTTTTTAGTCTAGATCCTTAATGCTAACCTTATTATGTCATTGTAACTGAGTCAATATTGATATATACAATATTAAAAAAAAAAAAAAAAAAGGTATACTGGTGTATATACTGTATATATACTATCTATATATCTCGACATATACTTTATACAATATTATCTTAAATGATTTACTTTTGAAACATACATAATGTATATACGTATGTAACTGATATTTATTTTCGATTAAGAAAACAAGGGATGAAACCTATTTACAGGGAATCTTATTTTTTTTTTCAATTAAAACATTTATCATTCAACTCTACCCAAATATATTCCACCTAAAATATACTGCATATCCAAATATATTTACCCCCGAATATACGTATTAAAGAACTTATACTAAAAAACTATTCTATAGATTATAATAAACAAATAATAGTAAGAAAAAAACAATAAAGATAATAATAATAATAAAAATACAAGAAAATATCATGTGTTTAATAACTTATGTTTAATCTAGTTAACGTTAGAATAGATAATCGTATGTACGTAGAAAATAATAATAATAATAGTAAATAATATCGTATCACACAACAAAATTAGAATTGTTTAAAGTGAATCTATATACAAAAAAGTTCGAGATAAAATAACGCCAGAAGAATAGTTAAACGATGAATATATATAGATAGTTTTGTTAGTTATATTTCGCGATCATTGTTGGACTTGGAGGACGTGCATACCCATGTTGTTTAAGAAATAACCCACATTTGTTGCCTACGTTATAACATAAATATCAAATAAATAAATTTAAAAGTTTTTATTAAATAATATATATTTTTTTCAAAAAAAAACAAAAAAATTGTTCAATTTCAAAATTTAAACCCACAAAGTTTTTGACCTTCAGGTCCCCTCCAACAAGGTGTGTTACGAGTACCACAATTATTACAAGCAAATTCAGGTTCAGGTCGTTGAGTTCTCATAAGACGAACAGTACCATCTGGAGCAAGTTCAGTTGGACGATGAATACCTTTATTTTTCAAACTTTTCAAAGAGTAATATAATTAATATAAAAATATAATTAGTATAATAATTATATAATATAGTATATAATTGATATAATTAATGTAATTAATGCAATTAGGTAGATTTAAACTTACTATAATCCACACGCATTGCAAAGTAACGCAACACCTTGTAAATCACGTCTCCAAGCGGGTGTATCACGTACACCACAATTAGAACATTGAGCAATTTCACCTTGTCTAATTCCATCAGCAGAAGCCGGTGAATGTAAAGGCATAATATGAGAATATTCAGTTTCAGGTTTACGACCACGTTTTTTCTTTCCTTTATTAGTATGTAATGAATCATTTAAAATCATATAATCGGTAACTAAAGCAGCAGCGGAATTAGGTGAACGTCCATTATTAATAAATTGTTGAGCTAAATGATCATAACCAATAGTTGAACCAGTAGGATACGTTCCATAAAAATGTGTTGGTAAACTTCGAGAAATTTGTGCATCATTCCAATATAAAGCTTGATTTGAAATAGGATTGTTCGTAACTGACATATTTGCATAAGTTTGACCATAATTATTAGGATTTTGCATAGATAAATTTTGTTCATAATTTAAAAGACTTGGATCGATCCTTGGTCCAGTATTCATCATATATCCTCCATTATTTAAAGTTTGATTATTATTTGAAGATGTTTGTTGAATAGACGAATGTGGAATATATTGATAAATATTAGAAAGGTAAGTTCGATCATTTAAAGTTGAATGATTAATTGGTGTATCAAAATAATTATCAAATTGTCTCGAATCTCCTCCATTTTCAAGAGTAGTTGTAGTAGTAGTGGTGGTGGTATCTTCCGAAGGTTCGATATGAGTTTCAGCGAGAGTTGAAGAGGTACAATTTGATAAACAAATTGGAGTACCGCTTGAGGAGTACTCTTTAGTAGGAGAATCGGCTGAAGTAGAAGAACAATCAATCGGAGGTGTAACTACGATATTTTCATCATAAATTGGGGAAATTATTTCTGGAGTAAGTTCATTTTCGTTCTTTTGATAATTGACTGATTCCTCCGACCATCTTGGTGGTTTGTAATCTTGATCGGATCTTTCAGTATATAAATTCTCTGTCGTAGTCGAACATGATTGTTGCTCATTGGTCGAAAAAGATTCATTGACGATGTTTTTAGACATTTGTGTAAATCGAAAAAAAAAGACCTTTATAAAAAAAAAAAAAAAAAAGAAAAAAAAACGGGTTTATTTAGAATCTGGGGCAGGCGAGATAATCCCCAGAAACAAAAAAAGATTCACTTTTGGAAGCGATCCTTTTATAAACATAAGAAACCAACGTTCTCAATAAAACAAACTCATAATATCCCCTTGAAATGGCACGAAAACAGACTCACAAGAATCCCTAAAAGGTAAATGATTAAACTCTGGCGTTCTTGAAGAATATTGAGTAAATCAATAGACGCGTGGAAAGAAAAAAGATATTTTAAGATAGCCACAAAAAAATTATTTGTGCCCTGAAATATATATATATATATATATAATTTTTTTTTTTTTATATATTTATTTTTAGTTTAATTTCTAATTTATTTTATTTTATTTTTTTATATTTTAATTTTTTTAAATCGGGAATGTCGAAAAAATATTTCTTTTTTCAAAAAGGGATTCAAGGAACGAGAAAAATCTTGGTGAGTCAGTCGATTTATATTAACCAGTAAATACTATAATTATACAGAAAATGACAAGAATAAATCTTCTAAATTCATTAAATTATGGATATTTGTGTTGTCATATTAGTCTTTAACGTCTTCATCATTTCATCAATCAAGGGGGTGACGTTGAATATGAGTTTAAAGAAAATGATGCATAATGATCAATAATATAGTGCGGGGAATACTGGTTTTGAAGTGCAAACAGAATTATAATGATAATAATGATGCAAAGTTTTGAATGATATCAAGCATATATTGATAAATTCAAACATTCATCATTAACATAAATATATATAATATATTTTATTTATATTATACTATATACTTTACATGCGTTCCATGATTACTCGTGTATAATAATAATAATTTGATCACAATGGCATTATGACATTATACTTTCCTGGGTTTTAAAAACTGGGAATAATGTTTAGTTGAACATCAGGAATGTTCAAGTTTTATGATAAAAAGTTTAAATGATAAACGCATCAATAATTTCTAAATCGCTTGCATTTATAATTATTTACTTTTACGAAACTCCTCGACCTTAGCATGATCGAATTTTGCATTTATGGTCAAACTAAATATGCGGTAAAGGAAAAAAATTTATCATTTAGTTTTCATATTCTCAAAAGAAATCAATGTTATTATTTTCGCGTATACCTCATTTTTACTGATGGTTTCATCAAGATGGTCTTACAACAGATGGTCTTACAACTTGGCTATTTATAATTCTAAAAGATTCAAGCGCGATCTTTGTTTAACCGTATTAAATCACTTGATATCTAAATAGAAGATATCAGTCAACGAAAAAAAAAAAATACCAAAGATATTTTATGGCTTTAAATTTAGAATCGGCTCGCATAATGATATTTTTTGACTTCAGATTATTAAATACTGTATACGTTTAATTACTTTAGTTGGAATTCCTTTTTTTTATTAATCCAAGAAAAAAAAATTTTTCTCTTAATCAAAAAGAAAGGTAATGATATATATAATTAGAAAAAAGATAGTTGAAATCTGCGCGTTGAGTAGTGTCGATTCCATCACGTGATTTTGGGCATTGTTTGCACGTGATCAAGATGTTAGTCCCTCGTCTGTAATGCAGGCAAAGTTTGCTTGGAAAAAACATAACAACATGTGAAATTTATGGACGAAGGGATGTATCATTATATTACAGTATTACAGTATTATTGAAAGTTTTTGGCTATGTATGCTATAATTTAAGAGTTTTGTTGTAGAATAACAAAGTCGTGGTAAATGAATTCGATAGTCGAATCTTCCAAAATCTGAGAATCAATTCTAACATTCTTTCATTTACTTTTAGCTAATTGCAAAGGTTTATATTTGTTTTTTAAGGTACAAACTTACAAAAAACCTACGAATTCGCGCAGTTGCCTACATACCAGATACAGACAGCATTGAGAAAATCGACGGTAATTCCCGAACGCTAGCACTAAAGTAATTTATGTAATAAATTATCGTATCTGGTATGTATAGTTATTACGTAAATAATTATTTAATGACCATAATAGCTTTTCATTACCAAAGTTAGAGGTATGGCGTAATTATATGAGAAGCATATGAGAAACGACTATATAGACAATATTTCATATGCATGTATTATTAGTATAGTTCCCAAAAAGATAATTTATTGAAGCATGTTTAAAACTTTATTATACTAAGAAAAATTTGATTGATTAACAAAAAAATTTATGAGAATAATTTCACATTAACTATTGTGACATGTAAATATTTAATAGACATTCAAAATACGTATAAGTATAAATATTCTCGTTTATATGTATGTTATATTTTTTTGGCATTAATAATAAATTCTTACGTATTAAACAGATAAATAGATGTATAAATAGATGTATATGCACATATATGCTAATAAATAATTTCTTCAAAATAAATAAAGAAATATATAACTAAATAAATGGTTGTTAAATTATTTATAATGAATTGTAGCTCTTCCGACATGCATTCCAACCTTAACCTGTTAATAATTAAAAAAATATATTAAATCATATATAATTTTATAACCAATTTATGAAATTCTTTAATAGAATAATGCAAACCAATGTTTCTAAAGGTTCTTTAGAATTAACCAAGATATCTTCATCAAACAGCATTCTTCCTTTTTGGAATAAAAGTACTATAGTACTTCCACCTGTTTATCATAAAAATATTTTAAATTTAATTATGTTAAAGCAAAAAAATTTTATGATAAATTTGTAACTATAAATTCTATAAATTCTATCAATTATAAATTTATTAAATGAGTTAATACTAACCGAAAGCAAAATAACCATGTTCTTCAACTCTTTTTACAGTTGTTTTGGGTTTGCTAGTGTGACAAAATTTTATATTCGTTATTTTATGTTTTATTGAATTTATAAAAGTAATGATTTAATTAATTACCTCGTGAGTACAATTGAACCGACCATCATAGCACCGATTGCTACATATGCAACTTTGCCAAATTGGGGTGAATCAATGTATGACACGGCGCGTTTATTTAAACAATATACGTCAAGACTACATACACACAATATAGAAATAAAGATTAAAAGAATGTTTAAAAAGATGATTATAAATAATTTAATCATTAATAATTTAAATATTGTATATTTACTGTGAACGAATTGCCATTGGATTGACTGTATAGTAATCCCCTGAGATTTCATGCGGTTCACTTAATGTACCTTCTACTGGAATGTGGAATCTATGACAACGAATTAAAATTTCATATTTAATATTTATATTTAAAAATACTCATATTTATTGATTAAAATGTTTTTAAATGTTGTTTTAAATGGTTTAAATGTTAATATACCTATGATAATCCTGTGGTGCTAATCGGAAAATCCCTAAACTACCACCTTCAAATTCTTTACTCATTGCTTCATTACCGAGTAGTCTGGAAATTGTAAAGGTTTCTCCTTTAATCCAAACTTCTGTAGCTTTATCTATTGTAGGAAAAGCCATCATACGACAATCTGCCGGACTAACTAAAACGTGTGGATCGTTTGGTGAATCACATGTCCTGGCTTCTGGCTTCAACTTACGATAAAAGAATTCATTAAAGTTTTTGAATGATTCAATTGGTTCAAGGATTTCTTCTGTATTTAACCCATGGAATTCAATAAAAGGTCTAATCTCTTCTGCTGATGTTGGCTTATCAAATTTTTTGCCTTGTTGGTCGGTAAGTTTTTTCAAGAGATTTTTTGCTTAAAAAAGATTAAATATAATTAATTATAGTTATTTATTTATTTATACTTTTATTAGTTTATTCATTCAATATACATAAATATACATACTGGTTTTAGATTCAACTCTTTGTTTATCCCTATACAAGAGGCGAATACCCAAACGGACATAAGCTGCCATTTTTTCTTCCTCTACTAGTCCAGTTAAACGATTTTTTGAAAGAATAACTGCATTATTCTAAGTAAAATGATAACAATTCAGTAAATTAATAATTCAATAAATATAAGCTCAAAAAGGAAACGATTTTATTACTTAATAATTTTGTAAAAAAAAAAAAAAAAATTATTTACTCACAGCACCAATTCTAAAACTACCATAACCAACTTTTGTGATAACTTTAGCTAACCATTTTCTTTGTGCTTGCGATTCAGTAATAAAATCTCCCGTGACAATTTTATTAACTTCAGTCCAATCATTGCTTGCACAAATGGCCACATGAGTTACAATATCCGCTTCACTTAAATGTGTGAGGTCCGGTCTATGACAAATTGGACATTCTTTCATAAAGATTAAATGTTCATTTTCGGATTCTTCTCCAAAACTATCAGAACTACGTCTAGAGGCATCACTTAACCAATCTTCCAAGCAATTAGTAAGCTCCGAAAATTCTAATTCTCCTCTTTCTGGATCTTTATTAAAACGTGTAAAAAAACTTGATATCGTTTTATTTGTCAATGAAGATCCTAAACTATTTAACATAGTTTCAACTTCCACGAAATTCATTACTCCATTTTCATCTGAATCATAAAACTTTACTAAAGTATGCCAAAATTGAATTCTTAATTGTTCGTAAGGTACATATTTTAAGCGAACACTAAGTTTTGGTTTATGTTTATCGACCCATTGTTTGTCAAGAAGCTCTAGAGAAATTTCTTCTTCCTCCATTCCATCTCCAATGTTTTGCGCTTTTATATTATTATGTTCTTGTGCATTTTTTTGTGCAAAGTCATACAACCGCTTGATTGGAATAGTTTGATAAGCTACATAATCATTATTAGAAAATTTATCCCAATCATAAACACTGAATTTAATTACAAAGCTTTCTAACTCATTTCTTTTCACTGGAAAGTGCAACTTTTCATTCCATACTGGATTTAAATTATGATTAATTACAGGTGTACGAAATGTATGTTTGGAAAATGAAACAACAACAAAAGGATCCATATCAAAATCGAAGCCGGTCACTAAATTATCCAAATAATAAATATAAAAAATAAATAAATAACTTTATAATTATTTAATTCAATAAAATTTAATTCTTGACTTCATACCATTCTTTACAGCAGGAAGATCTTTTGCACCTACAATTTCAAGAAAAGTTAAACCGATGACGTCATTTGCTTGCGAATAACTATATTGTCTTTCGGGTTTAACTTTCACTTCCCCCACAGTAGATGTAGCATTAGATGAAGGGTTTGAAGATTCATTGACTTTTAAATTATGCATTTGCTTCCAAATTGAGACCCATTCTCTGGGATCTAAGAATTCATTATCATTATCAACAAATCCAACCTTGATTAAGACTTCTCCAGATACATTTTCTTTTTTACGCATAGAAAGCAATGGATACCAATGACGCTATAAACAAATTCAAATCGTATACGAGGGTAAATATGTGCTAGATGACTATCTATAAGTTTATAAAGAAAATACCGTATTAGATGGGTCAGTAAAGCCAATGTGACCTCCTTCACAAAATTTATCCAATGGAATAGATATCTCCCCCATATAATCCCGTCCAAAAAGGTCTCTATCCCAACATGTGAAATGAATTTCGGATGGTGGATGTGCAGGATTAACCTTATACTCAAATGACGCATTCCAAATAGGATTCAAATTTTTATACATAACATGAGTATTAAATGATTCATCACCAATATTCACAGTAATATACTAAGATAAAAATTTCAAAATATTTATTTTTTTAATAATTTAAACGAAATTTTGAATTAATACGGATAAAAGGAAATCATACTTACAGGATCCGAAAAGCCATTTTTATCTTTAATGGCAAGATTTCTGGCTTGAATAACATAAACTCTTATAATATAATTAGGTGTAGTCATAATAGAGAAAAAATGAGCTCAAAAAAAAGCAACACCGAAAAAAATTTTTTATACAACCTATGCTTTATTAATTTCAGAGATGATCTGCAACTACTTTATCGTTATCTCACATTCTTTTAAACAATAAATATCTAATCTCGGAAGTATTGTATCACATCTTAATGACCTTAATGACTGTAATTGGTAATGCATAAATTTTTTTAGATTTCGTAATACCGATACCTTTCATTGAGTTTTATTGATTGGATCTTCAACGCTATTTACACATGACTGTATTAAAAGATTGTTTTAATTGTCTACGTAGTAACTAAACATAGTAATTAACTAACTAAGCCGATTCCTATCTAAGGCCGTATAACCTTTGGCTAAACTGATACCCGGGAATTTCTTCACTGCCAAGAGGTGTAAGAATTACGTACATATGTACGTGCATAGCAGATAGCGAGTATTATTTCTGGTTTGAAATAAAATGGATTTGGTGGTGAGAAAAGGACAATTTTTCAAGATGTTCTTTTTACATAAATCAATTTAAAATAAGATTAGGGTCATTTTTCACTTAAGCACAAAAGTAGTTGTGTTAATAAAATTTTTCTTAAAGTTTGTATTTTCTTATGTTTTATTATAAGATTTACAACATAATTGATTTTCCGATCTTTTTTTTTTTTGTCAATTTCGTCCCTTTTCTCAGCACCTAGCCCAAACATTTATACATATACTTTCACAAATAAATAATAGTGTTTAAAAAAATATTAAGTATAATTTTTGTATATATGTAAATATATTTGTGAATATAAATATTACAGAATTATTTAAACAAATTTGATTGATTTTTTAGTTAATGTTAATACATATGTTGGTTAGAAGAATTTTACCAAATAAAGTATACACTGTATATATATAGTATAATCCAATTTCGCCGACAACCATTTCGTTGACAGTTAGCCCGGTTTAGATTAGGGCTGGCCTAACTTATACGTAATTAGGTTGGCTAGAGGCAAAATAGTTGTCGGCGAATTCTACCGGTAACCTATTCTAATATTGATTTTTTAAGAAGTAGATATATATACTATATAATATTTATAAGATTGATTAAATAATTAATATATTTAGATAATTGCTACATTTTGCTAATGCCACCTCCCAGATATAAAAAAGTGCTTCAAAATAAATATTTTCTTTTGATCTTAATAAAGTTGTTCATTAGGCCTTTCTGGTTCTAATAGTAGTAAAATTATTATACTCAGACAATAGTTCCTAAGATATATATATCCGAAGTTAGTTAACTTTCATTTACTTTTAAAAAAAAACCATCAGTCCGATTTTAATGATTTAATTTTAATTTCTAATATATACAGTCTGTATACATCTTAATATGCTTTAGTATTATTTGTCTACAGTATAACACTACAATTTGAACTACAATATAATTTATAGTTTTTGAAAAATCATTTGTACATAAGGGGGGTCCGGTACGGTTTACCGACATTTGCTTCCCGACAACTATTTTCCCGACAATTATATGGGGGTGAGTCAATAGGAATCAAGCAAATTTTTTATAATAAAATTTTTTATAACTTTAAACAAGAATAACTTAACAAAAACTTGACCAAATTTAATAAATTTTTTTTTAAAAAAAATTTTATTAAATTTGATTAAGTTTTTATTAAGTTATTCTTGTTTAAATATTTGCTTGATTTCTATTGACTCATCCCCATATATTTCCCCACATAACAAATTTCCCGACATAACCATTTTCCCGACAACCATGTCACAGACAATCATTTCCCCAACATGACCATTTCCCAACATGTTTCATGATTGTCTGTGAAATGGTTGTCGGGAAAATGGTTATGTCGGGGAAATAATTGTTGGGAAATAGTTGTCGGGTAAATGTTGGTAAACCGCCAGGTACTATGACGTGGGAGAGTATCTTGCGATTTTACTACAAGTGACTTTCGATATAAGAAAGTTTTATATAAGAAACTCTTGATATAAGAAAGATTTTGTAGAGTCCTAATAGAAAGTTTTATAATAAAAACCTTTTGATATAAGAAAATCTTGATATAAGAAAGATTTTAACTGGACCCAGCAACTTTCTTATCTAGATTCACTTGTAATTAGAATCAATTTTAGTACTATTCGATTTGTCTTATCAAGATGAATAAAATGACAAGAGAATACTTTATTTGGACCACTAGGCTACAAAATATAGGTTTGGTGCTGAGAAAAGGAACGAAATTGACATAAAAAATTCTTCACAAAAAATTAATTATCTCGCAAACTATCGATCAGAATTTATAATTTGGTATCATCCTATTCATCTTATCAACAAATCGAATGGTACCAAAATCATAAAATTCTGATCAACAGAATTTTTTATGCCAATTTCGTTCCTTTTTCCAACACCAAACTCATATAGTTAACGTTAACGTTAAGTGAAACTTGCAAATGGCTACATCATGCTTTTTTTACAACTGTTCTCATAAATTCTGGGACAATTAATAATTTGCTCGTTTCCCGAAATCTCCGGCCTTGTCCCATGAATCATCTAACTACTATCGGAAATTACATCGCTATCTTCGTACTGACAATGACGCATTTCCGAAAAGTCAGGTGACCTTTAGGAGAGATTTCAGGAAACGAACAAATTTTTAGTTTGTCCCGGAATTTATGAGAACAGCTGTAATTTATTTTATTTCGATAATTTTGTGAATAAATAGCATTCCTGATTGAGTGGGAAAAAAAAAACGATTTACGTACCGTTCCTTAATTTGCATGGAAATTAGCACTTTCCAAATATCTCTACCGTATTTGTCCCATTAAGACACGTAATTCAAAGAGAGCTAATAATTAATTTAACAGAATACAACCATAATTTTATTCTTCTGCTAAATCAATTATTAACTCTTTAAATTACGTGTCTCATGGGCGTTATTTCGTGTATATATCGATTAAGGATCAATATTAGATAAGCCGAAATCAACGTTATGGATTAATCACGGGCCATGACTTTAGCATTCCAAGCATTGCCATGAAACATCGACTTCGGGTTCCTTTAACTGTTAACAAGAATAGTATTCATCTCATTAGGGACAGTATTATTGAGAATAAATAGAATAAATATGCTTTTCCAAGAAATTTTTTACTATTAACAATCCTTAAGTGCAACATAATACCAACCCTCCCTCAATAGTTAATTTTTTTAAAAAAATTTATCATGTACGTACAAGTAAAAAAATAATGCAAGACGTCTTTAATGCATTAAAAGATAGAAAATTTCTTAAATTATCGGAATATGTATTCTCTTATATATTAAGTCACGAGACACGATCCAGATAATCAACTATCGCTATATACAGTATATACTTGGATCAAAAATTTATTCTTTAACCCCCAGCTCCTTTTAGATGACTACAAATCTGTTAACCGAGCCACACTTCGCACCACAATATAGAGGACCTTATAAAGACATAGTCAAACTACTTCTCAGCCACTCCTCAAGTACTACTGATCTTGAACGTATAGCTACCAACTTTCTTTCTTCACAGCGTAATGCAAGTCAGGATTATTATGATTTCACCTCAGGAATTATGTTATTTTATATGCTCCACTATACTAGCTTTATGAAAATTGGGTCAAAGGATGCTGGGAAAAAAGCAAAGATAGAATGGGTTAGGACATTGATTCAAGTGTTTCTAAAACAAGAATTTCTTGGAACTATCTGTTTGGGTGGATTATTGTAGGGTTTTTTTTTTTTTTATCCTACTACTGTTACCAAATTGATTTATGTTTTTTCATTGAAGGAATTGCTTTATAGTTTTCTTATTCATACAGGAAAGGGTACCAAATGGTGAAACCTCAAAGCAAAAGACATATAATAGGTGATCTTATTGCCGAAGTTGAGGATGCCCTTTTGGCTAGTATTGATGCTCAAATTGATTTTATCAAAGGAGATCAATCGTTAGATCTTGTTGAAATTATTGGCCAATATCAAGAAGGTTGCCATTCGTTACTACATTATAATCATTTATTATTCATATTTTAAATTAATTTCATCTTTGATATAATTTAGATTCGAAGAAAGAAATAATCACATATATATGTGGGCAATGTTTTTCTTCGATTCCTCCTTCACAAATGGCAAAACTTAATTCAAAGGTTAAAATTTTTTGAATTTCGTCTGATTTATAATTGGCGGATCATTCTAAACTCTATCTAATATTACAGGGAATCGTATTACGAATTATCATTCAAGTCGTGTTTGGTGGCCCACAAGTATTTCAAAACGGAATGTTCATTAGTCATGTTATAAATGATATGCGTAATAATGAAGGAAGTTTGACAAAAAAATGGACTGTGAATATTCTAGCTATTCTTTGATTCACAAACTTGCTTTTTACTTCCTTTTCCTATATGAATGCAATTTTATTTTTATTTTTGCTCAATATTAGAAATCCACACCATCATACAAGCTCCTTCAAGCAAAATGTTCCGGCATACTTTTTAAAGAACAACCTAAAATATCTTTAGGAATGGCTAAGTTAATTCAAGTTGTTGAAAAAGAGGATATCTCTATTCTGCTATCAAAGTATATATTTAATTTGTAAACGCGAATTTATTTCTTCAAATTCTTATTTTTTTTTTTATTTTTTTAATATCTTTTTATAGTATTTATTTTTTTGCCTATCTGTTATTCACTTGGTGGGAGTTATGTCCTTTGAATTTGATTGGAAAAGAAGAATATTTAGGTTAGTTCGATGTTCTATAATCACAAAAGTGTTATCATTCTCGGTGGATTTGGTTTTGAAATTGGTAACCTTTTACTACGCCAATCCATCTAAACCCCGGCTAAGCTTAGGTAGATGAGTTAATATAATCAATAATCAATAATCAATAATCGTTAATAATTAAATCCAAATCCGATGGTATATCAGAAGGGCCTCAATTATATTATTTAATTAATATATAATTAACATATTGGATTTCTTTTTGCAGACAATGAAACGAAGGAAGCTATACCCATTTTATGGCAAATTTTCAGACAATGCATATTTTCTGTGACAATGATATTCATACATATTATAGACAGATCATATCTTGAACCTGAAATTTATGGAGAACAAGGTTAATATCATCAGTAATTATTTTTTTTATTATCACATTAATGGCTAATTTATTCAATTGACTCTCAATTTAGAAAGAATATTGATCATTAATACGTATTCTTATCTATATTTCATATCATCTCGATTTGCTCTATATGGCTTCCCTGGACACAAGAGAGTGTTTTTTTCAGTCTTAGATAGAGTTTTAGATGATGAATCAGAACCAAAAATTGTTATCAAGATCTGCAGACCATCATTTGGAAACACGCCAACACAAAGAAGTAGAATAACGTACTATCTGTTGTTAATAGAAAGTCTTATGAGAGCGTTAGATGACGATACCGTTGAACAAAACGTTTTGCCTTTTATTTATCCGTAAGCATTTTAAATGATTTATTTTAATAGTAAAGTTTTTGTGAGTACTAGTAGTGTACCACTTATGAGATTACGTTATATGTATATATAGATATCTCAAGGACAATTCCGACATCCATTTATTTGAGTCTGCACATTCTGCAATGCTCGCTATATTCTCCAATATGAAGAGAGTGGCGAATGAATTGGCTCCATTTTATTGCAGCTTGTTACTTGAGAGTTACCCAACACTTATTCATGTTTCCCAATTACGAATTGCCTATACTACAATTATCAAGTCTTTATCAAATACAGACAATGCAATAACTTTTTTATGTTTAGAAAAACTGATCAAAAAAATCGAAGATACACCTCTTTCTGCTTCATCAGATACTGATAAATCCAAGAAAATATTACCTACTAAATCATCTTCATATGGGCCACAAAATGAAAATACTTTAAAGACTTCTGACAAAGAAGATAACGAAATTCAATCAATTGCATCACGTCTTAATCGAGGCCATTTACTTTTAACATTAATAGACCAAATTCAATCTGTTAACCTTATTTTATTGGAAACTTTGTTGATAAAAATTAAATATTTTTTACAAGCTGAACAAGAAGGGATTGGAAAACATGCAATAAAGAAAGCTTTATTTAATGCATTAAGTGCAGGGTTGGATTATACAAAAAAAGACACTGGTGTTAAATGGTGGTTATCAGAAGGACCCAAACTTTGATAAGCTAAGCTTGGTATACATCAGAAATTGGTAGTATAGGCTTTATTTAGTTATGAATTTTACATTCATGTTCTAGTTTTATATCTCGTAGGAAATTTGTCTTTCTGCGGCTATTTCATTAATAGGTTAACATTATGTCTTAATAATATAGAAATTACTTGTGCCTGTGATAAACATTAAATATTTGTATTGGTTTGCAAAATCGAATAAATTTCTATATATTGGTTTATTTTACTACCAAAATTATCAATTACAAAACAGTTTTTAAATATTTAAAATAACAAATTCTTGACGATATTGGGATTCTGTAATCGGATTTTAATAATTTTAGGCTCAATAGAATCAACTCAATAAGACGGTATTTTAGTAATAAAATTATCCAGTGGATTAAAAGTTTTTTTTTTTTTTAATATTAGGGTGTAGCACCTGCCCCAGACTTTTATTAATACTTAAGCAAGTTGACATATGGTAGTGCCGAAATACATACATATTACATATCAGAACTAGGACTAGGACTTTAGGTCTAAGACCATTTATTCATGGCTAAAACCTACCAGAGTCATCAACACTCCCACATATATGATTGATCTAGATTTATACATTCCTTCCCAACTGCCAATTAGTATTCACATGTCCATCACTTTACCTACATTACCTAATATCTTAACTTCCAAATTGGTACATACCAGGTAGGCACTTATTGTTCCCAGTTTGGTGTGTCTATTCCCAACTAGCATACTTCTAGGAGTTTATATCTCAAGCTATGCAGCTGCCTCTACCAATTGGGTAAGTATTTCAAGCCTACATGCTGTCATAACTAGCTGGTTTCCTGTGACTTTGGGACCTAGGTCTTAATGTTTTGAATTCAGTATTATAGTAGATTAAAAGTTTTTTTTTTTTTTTTTTTTTAATGTTAAAGGTTAGTAGATTAAAAGTTATTTTCTTTTAAAAATATAAATTAATATTAATAATAATTGTTATTTCTGATTGGGTAATATTTTATTTTATATAACTAAACTATTATTAAACCAAATTATTTAAGCTTAGCCATCAATAGTTCAGTGAACTAAACTTCAACTAAACTATATATTTTAGTAAATTAGGCTAGTTCAAATAAAAATCCAGTTGTAAATATGAATTTTTTAACAAATTTGAATAAAATTGCTAGTAAATTTTTAATAAAGTTAGAGGTGTGGTGCCTTAGTAAAGTGGTCTAGTTGTCACTTTTACCAAATAGTAATGGTATAAGTCCTAAGTTCGAATCCCAGGGACAACACTTTTGAAAAAAAATAGAATATGTCAGACAACGATCCCTACTTAGGTTGTCCCAGAGATGATTTAGTAATCCAGTCTGTAGAGCCGGGAAAAGGATTTCAGAAGGCTGTAATCTGTGGGCTGTGTACGGCACAGGTCACAAAACTGGAGATCGGAGCCTGTTTGGGAAGTCCTGAGTAGGATATAGCAGTGATCTTTGACGGTACTACAGGAAGGCTGAATTTGAACCAGGGCCTGAGATTGGAGAACCAAGCAATCAGGTCCTTTAGTGAAAGGACACACCAGCCGAATCACCAGTTTAGACATACCGAAAAAAAAAGCCATATGCTCCAAAAGTATAAACCAAGAGGAAAACGTCCTTCAGGCACCTAAAGCCTGGGCAGACCAACCTTTTCAGGTTGCCGGCTGGAAGTAAGGGAGGGACCGATAAGGAATCCGGGTAAAAAGATGGTTAGAATATGGATACCGAGATTGTTGTGAACCTTACAAGAGCAGGAGTATGTAATTGGCAACTAATTAGGAAGGTTGTGCTTGAGATATGGATCGGGTTATAGCAGCACCCCAAAAGTTGGCTTGAGA